TGTACGTTTAATCTACATATCAAAGTGGAATAAAAAATCGAACGGAATTTGTTTAAATATTATGTATTATAAATTAAGCCTTTGTTTTACGATTTGTTGCGTTTTTGAAAATCTTTCAACTTATGTCCTAAATTAAAGCATTTAAAAAAAATTCCAGGGACACTTTCATTTAGTATTATGAAAACAACTGTATGGTTAACGTTGGTTACCCATTAATGTTTAAGAACCACCTTTGGCTGGCTTCTGAAAAATAAACAAAATAAGACTTGTTTGGTATAAAATTCACAATTTTTGCCCGCTCACTAATTAGCGAATAAATTTCGTGTGTTTAAAAATTTCATCGAGGTCGTAATAAACACTCTGCTTATGAAGTGGGATGATGAGGTGTGGTGGATGAATTTGATGAGAGAAAAGGCGGTGTAGATGTTGTGCCAATGGTCCTTTGCACAGTTGTTACCCGTCCGTACCCGGTAAACCGAGATCAGTCCCTTAAAAATTCCCGGACTAATTCGTCGTAGCAGCTTCTGGACGAACAAAACTCGACGTACTTACCGTAACTCCCCATCTTTTTTCGCAGGGCCATCTGGTTGGGGTGGTGGGGTGGCATATGGGGCGTATGAGCGAGCGACCAACGAAAACGACAGGTCCGAAGGGACGGATGTTGACGGTACCGAAACTACATCAACACCAGCACCATCACCACTACCACCACACAACACCATCACCAACACCACACAACCCACCACCAACACCAACACCACACCAACATCCCCAACAACCTACAACCAACTGTACCACTGCAACAACCACCATCACACACCACCACCAAGACACCCCCACTGGCCGCCGTACCCCAAAGCCAACACCAACACCACCACCAACACCGCCACCACCACCACCACCACCAACACCACCAAACACCACCACCAGCCAAACCAGAACCAACAACCATCAGCCAAATGCAGCCTACAGCCACCGCAACCACCACCAACATACCGAGCCCAGCAATAACAACGCAACCACCCGCACCCACGGGCATCCACCCACCAGGCCACCTCGGCCACCGCCATCACCGACACGCACTACTACACAGCCACCAGCTACTAGCCCACTATCACCTACACCACCATCACCACCTACCACCAACATCATTCCCCAGGCCACGCACCACAACCCAGAGTACACCCCCCTCATCATCACCATCCTACACCTACCACACACCACATCCACTCGGACCTGCCACCACAGCCTCTTGTTACCCCCACCACCACCAGCCGGACCAACCACCCCCCTGACCACCACTTGCTTACCATCAACCACCTGCTGCTGAGCATATCAGCGACCACCTACTACTTGAGCTACCGCGATTCGACCAGTTCTTTTTGGAGGCCGGTAGGGGTGAGGGGGGGGGGGGGGTTGCACCAGGCCATCACCACGCGGGGGACCGGCCGGATCGAGCGCACATCTCAGTGTCCGCGCCCCGTGAGCCACGACGGGCGTGGAGCGGCAACGACGCGAAAGCCACGGCCCAACCATCGATCACCACCACCAACCACCACCACCACCACTACGTAACACCACGAACACCAACACACATACCCCCACCGGGGATCGTGCGGACTAACGGGGGCGAGCGCGAGCACGGGGCAGTCATTCACCACCAGCGGGACCGACCAGGTCCACGTGACAGGCCACTCAGCCACCACCGGACCGACGGCGATCCGAGCCACGCAGTAGTATATAGTCCGAGCGCACGGGCGAAGCGCGAATCACCACGGAACCGACCGGACCGAGGCCGAAGCGAGCAGAAGCACTCAGACCCAACAGAGCCGGAGGCGACCAACACCGAGACACGAAACACCACACCAACACCAATTACCAACACCACCCAACGACGGCGAACAGCCAGACAGGCACCACCACCACACTACCAGCGCCACGACCACCAGACACCACACCAAAGGCACCAGCAACGCACGACCGAGCCACGCACACCAAACCGACCACCACCAAACCCACCACTACCCACCGACCCGGACCGGACCAACGAGACACGCACCAACGACCACCACCCAGCACGCAGCCACCGAGCCGACGCACCACGCGACCACCACCCACCACCACCATTCACCGACGCGGACTACCACGCAACACCCACCACCGACGTCGCACCACCACCACCACCACCACCACCGAGGCACTGGACGCACCAACACCACCAGACACGGCACCAACACCAGCGCAAGCTCACCACCAAACCACAAGTACGCACCACCAGCCACCACCACCACCACTACCGCCCGGCGCCCCCAGCCACGAGCTGACGAGCGAATTATGACAACGGCGGATCGGACGACTACACCGTCCACAGCTGACCACCATCACGCGAGACTAGCTCGAGAGAGGAGTTGGGGAGTTAGGGGTAGTAGTGGATTGGTGAGATGAATAGTAGGTAGGGAATGGTAGTGGGGAGAGGTGACTAGGTGGGGGTAACGATTGGTTTCCGTTGACGGGCAAAAGTATTTAGGGGCGTAATTTCGTTAGTTAACAATCGAGAGTTATCGGCTGTAAGAGCGGCGAGTGAGTGAGCTTTTGTATAATCAGCTTCACGAGTGATAGCTTTCAGGAATGAAAGATGAGTGGCGAATCAGATGAAGTAAAGAGCAGGGGCGGACAAGGAGGTAGTCACCAGCGATTCAGGATAGCGGAGTACATCTGTGGTTAGAATGGAGAGAGGAGATGAAGAGGACTCTACGCGGTTTTCTGTGGAGCCAGAGGTGGGCAGGCTTTTGTGAGATGATAGGAAGAATTACTGCATGAGGGGGGGGGTCGGGGGTGGGAGGTACCGCCGAAGGGTTGAGAAATCGGCGCGAAGGAGCGCGCCTACGGTCGTGTGCGTGTTGTCTCAGGGTGGTACATGGCCATGCAGCAGGCGGTGGCGAGAGATTGATGTAAAGAAAATACGCGGATTACGCTGCATGCCTGGCGAAACAGAATCAAGACGACAGGCCCGGGGACGGCGAGCGCCAGCGATGGCACGATTGGCTTGGGTCTCGATCGCGAGCGAAACACGCATCCGGAGTGTAGATGGCGAGAAACCGGTATAGGGGAAGCAGTGAGAGGCTAGCTATGGGGTTGGACGGTGATGGTGGATTAATCCTCCGCGCGGGCTGGCGAGAGGTTTGTTTTCACCGGCGTGTGTTGGGTTGTGGGTTTGTGGGGTTGGGTGGTACAGCCTGAAGCGGTAAAGGGAGATATGGAGTGATGGGAGCGGAGGGTTGCAGTGTGAGAGATTTCGGAGTGTGAGACGTGCGAGAAAGTGGGGGGTAAGCTCGTAGAAGGGTGTGGATTATATGTTGTCGGGGGGGGTCGTGATTCCGGGATCCAATTAGAGTTAGGAGTTAAGCTAGATTAATAAAATTGTTCGAGGCATAAGGTCAGGAAATTGGTAACGTGTAGGAATGATTACATTTTGATGGTGTGATCCGGATCCAATTAATTATTTTAATGGAATTAGGGGATTGATTAGATTAAAATTTTCAGCTTAATAGGATGTAATGATAAAATAAAAGGAAGAGTGTGCAGCAGTGAGAGAATTCAGGGCTGCGCTTGGCGAGGGGGTCTGTGCTCTCGGAGTGCTCGTAGTTTCGTATTATGTTTCCACGCCTTTGTGAAACGGCACTCATTTCATGCGTGATTTAGACGAATTGAGCTGTCGCTTGAGTGTGCAGACTATGCTTTACGTTAGGGCCTAACCGTGAATTTGTATTCTAGTTTTACCAGAGTTGGATAGCTTGCACTTCTGGTTAGCCATTAGCGGTGGTACGTTGGTGGGTTTGTTTGTGGCATTGCTAGCATATGTGTCACCAAGGACAGTGTCGCAATC